CCCTGAGCATGGATCAAGAAAATTAGTTTTAACCAATCCAAAGGTTATTCTGATGTCTACAGTTGGAAAACCACTGATATCGTGTAACTCCCTGGGCAGTTATAAATGGAAATGAATCATACAAATTTGTTCATTAGCAATTATCTGTGTTAACACTCAAACTAGAGAAGTTCTCTTCTTGGGATCAGTTAAAATCAACTAGGGCACTTAATGTGAAATGCAAACTTCTGATTATACCCCAGTAATTTCTTATTTTGTATGGGATGGAGCCCAGAAATGTAGCGTGTGTGTGTGTGTGTGTGTGTGTGTGTGTGTGTGTGTGTGTGTGTGTGTGTGTGTGTGTGNGCGCGCGCGCGCGCACGCACACACAGACAGGACATAGCTGCCTCCTTTCTCTGGTAAGTAGCCCACAGAGAGGGTCTAGATAGCATTGAGGTCAAGAACATAGGCTTAGGAATGCAAACACCTCAGGATTAATTTATTTTATGCCCCTTATCGGTGATGAGAGCTTGTGCAAGAATCTGAATCCTGTATGCCTCTGCTATCTAAAGTTTAAAATGAAAATAACACCCGCCTCACAGGACTGGTAATTTCATTGAGTTTTAATAAATTTTTACACTCTCCCCCCATTTCTCCCACCCTCCAGCCCCCACCTGTGGCAACCACCAATCTGTTCTTTATGAGCTTGGTTTTTTGTTATGTTTCTGTTTTGTTTTTTAGATTCCACATATAAGAGATCATACCAGCTCTTTCTCTGCCTGACTTATTTCACTGAGCATAATGTCTTTGAGGTCCATACATGTTGTCACAAATGGCAAGATTTCATTCTTTTTTATGGCTGAATAATATATATATATATATATATATATATAATATCTCATAATTTCTTTATCCATTCATCCATCAATGGACGCCTAGGTTGTTTCTATATCATGACTAGTGTAAATAATGCTGCAGTGAACATGGGGGTGCATACATCTTTTTGAGTTCATGTTTTTCTTCGGATAAATACCCAGAAGTGGAATTGCTGGATCATATGGTAGTTCTATTTTTTTTTTAATTTTTTAAGGAACCTCCATATTGTTTCCCATAGTTGCTGCACCAATTTACAATCTCACCAGCATGTACAAGGGTTCCCTTTTCTTCACACCCTCGCCAACACATTATTTCTTGTCTTTTTCATAAAGCCATTCTGACAGCTGTGAGGTAATATCTGTGGTTTTGTTTTGCATTTCCCTGATGATTAATAATGTTGAACATCTTATCATGTGCCCATTGGCCATTTATATGTATGTCATCTTTGGAAAATGTCGATTCAGATCTCCTGCCCAATTTTTAATCAGGTTTTTTTTTTTGCTATTAAGTTATATGAGTTCTTTATATATTTTGGATATTAGCCCCCTTTCAAATATATAATTTGTAAACATTTTCTCCCATTTAGTAGGTTGCCTTTTCATTTTGTTGATGGTTTCCTTTGCTATGCAGAAGCTTTTTAATATGATAATATTAAATAAGTCATACTTATTTATTTTTTCCTTTGTTGCTTTTGCTTTTGGTGTCAGATTAAAAAATCACTGCCAAGACCTATGTCAAGGAACTCACAACTTATGTTCCCTTCTAGGGGTTTTATGGTTTCAGATCTTACATTCAAGTCTTTAATTTGTTTTGAGTTAGTTTTTGTGTATGATGTCAGATAGTGTTCCAGTTTCATTCTTTTGCGTATGGCTGTCCAATTTTCCCAGCACAATTTATTGAAGAGACTCTCCTTTCTCCATTGCATATTCCTGACACCTTAGTTGTACATTAATTGACCACAGATGCATGGATTTTTTTCTAGGCTCTCAATTCTGTTCCATTGATCGATGTGTCTGTTTTTATGCCAATACCATACTGTTTAATTACTATAGCTCTGTAACATAGTTTAAAATCAGGGGTGTGATACATCAAGCTTTATTCTTCTTTCTCAAGTTTGCTTTAGCTATTCAGGGTTGTTTGATGGTTTCATACAAATTTTAGGATTATTTGTTCTATTTCTTTGAAAAATACCATTGTAATTTTGATAGGGATTGGATTGGATCTGTAGATTGCATTAGAGAGTATGGATAGTTTAACAATATTTATTCTTCCAATCCATGAGCATGAAATTTCTTTTTATTTATTTGTGTCCTGTTCAATTTCATTATGGGGTCCAGGAATATACATTTTTAATACGCATACTAGTGATTCCAATGCAGTTTGCTTGGTGTATAACACCTTGAAAAGCACTGATCTATTCGATGGCAGTTGGCTGTAATCTCTAGCATTCTATTTAGGATGCAGCAATATTTAAAGAGTGTTATTTTATTAACAATTGTAGCAGTATGGTGAGATTTAGACAAGGCAAGTCATATGACTAGGCATGGCTAAATATAAAACGGGGCCTGCATTTAACACTGTGGTTTGAATTGATGCAGCCAATTCATTAATTAGTTTTGACTGACCATAATCAACTATTATCTTGATCAGAAAACTCAATTGGATTATTTTAAATTGCACTGTGTTTAATCAAATATACCCTCTTATTTGAAATCATAAATCAATATATTGAATATAGATTGACATTATTTCCTGAAATAGTAATTATCTCCTAAAATAGTATTGCTGTAAATTGGCATCTTGGTGCTATTCAATATCGCACTGGTTGCCTGAAAGTACAAGATGACAGAACAGTATCTTCTGTCTTTTAAAGTCACAAAAAATACAAAGGAAAAAGAAAATCTATGTATGGCCACTTACATCATATGTGAACCTCATTGCTAGAAGGGAGGACCCTGAAATCATCTTCCACTTCTTCCTCTCAAGTAGCCAAAAGTCATCACAGGCAAAAGTCAAAGTCTCCACTGAACCTTAAATAATTTTTTAAGTAAAATCTATCATTCTGATTCTTAAGAGAGCCTACTACAAATGTAGTTATGTAAAATGGGAGAAACTGCACAAATTTTTGAAAAATTTATCCAAAAAAAAAATACTCAACATGTTAGTTGTGCAAGTAACATGAACTACAAGAAGAAAACATTTGACTGTGAAAGCACATATTTAGCATGCTGTGATTCATCGAGATTAGAAGAGCTGTTAAATATGTTTCTGGAAGACCTGGAATGATCTTTGTTGAGAACGTCCCTCAGACACTTGAACAACTTTATCAATCCCAGATATCAAAAAAGCATTGAGGATTGACCTAACTTCCAAATTATTTTTAGAATTGTAGTAACACCCCATGGAAAAGGCTGACCCTACAGTGCACAAAAATGGTAGCTCAGAGACAGAATTTTAACTTGCCAGGAAAATAGGTGAGTTTAATTTTTTTCCTTAGTTATGTTCATAGATTTCCCAGGATGGCCTCTGAACATGGCCTCGCCTGATACAAATGAGACATGATTTCCCTGACTACCTGAGATAAATTCTTATTACCCAATTAAAAAAATCCTGGGTGGTCTCTAACAGAGAGAAGAAGCCTGCTGCTAAGGACCAAGGAATAGATGAAAACATTCTTTTGGGTTAAAGGGGAGAAGAGAACTGTCTCTGCTACTATATTATGATTAAAACCACAGACGAATTTTCTCTGCTCTTAACCTTTCTAAACATGTAACCTTACTTTTCTTTTCCTCACTGTTAATATATCATAGCAATATTAGAGTAAAATTCTATTTTATCAGAATAGACTGGAGCCATGATCGTTTTATTAAAATTGTATTTCCTGAGAAAATGGAAAATACTAATTTAATCTAAGAACTGCTATGTGGAAGCAAAAGTAAGGACTGTGATTCAGCTGAATGATTACAATAAAAGTGAACGCTGCCAGTGCTTTTTCCTTTTTCCATTATAAATTAGAATATTACAGAAGTCAATTAAAATGCCATAAAAAGTACATGAGCTCATGTAATTCTCTTACTAGACAAATAACTTCCATTTACATTAGAATGGGACTATATCAAATGTGTATTTGTTGTACCCATTACAGATTTGCTTAATTTGTTTCTCATTACATGTGTACGGCTAGGTAGGTCATTTTGTTAACCTGGGCCAGTTAAACAAATTGTTTCAAATTTGTGCTCATGAGACCTCCTTTGTAAAGGCTGGTGATTTTGCTGGTAATTTATAAAGGCTGGTAATTTTGCAGTGAAAACAGTATTTCTCAGCACAAAATGGAAACAATCACCATGTGTAAACGTGAAGCCACCTTGTAGGGAAAAACAGGATATGGCAGAATATGGTTAACTTACTATCACTTCCTCACTGTGCAGGGAAAGTTCAGAATACATTTTTTTAAAGATTTTTATTGGGGATATGGGGGGAATGGGAACAGTGCTGGGGAATTGGGGGAAGGGGAACAGACAAGTTGCTGTTCTTTTGTTCTTCAGTCTAGTTGTGGAGGACGTTGCTTCACTGGCCCAAGTTGGCACCATCATTGCGCTCTTCCCAGGCAAGGCAGATGATCAGTCGCCGGCTTCTGTACGGCCGCTCACGGTGGCTGTTGGCCGCTCGCCGCTGGCTGCTGGCTACACACGGTAGTCCATGGAAACCCACTGCAGCAGGGGCTGCAGCCTACACCATTGCCGGCGACTCATGGCAGCCCAGCTCCAGGTTGAGCTGTTGTTCAGCATCTTAGCTGTGGAGGGCAATGTCACTGGCCCTCATATGTGGGATCCGAACCAGGGCCCTCTGGCGTCCCAAGCCAGCTCTTAACCATCGTGCCACTTGGCCAGCCCAGAATACATTTTTTTATTGGTTATTGGAACTGACTTTTTCAAATGTTTATCAAACTAAGAGGAGTAGGGATTATACCAAACTGACTTTGAACTGCATAAAATAAAGCAAATGGCTCTTGAGTAGACGCCTTCTTTGAGTGACATTCCCACTAAAGCTTGTTTTTGAGAATTATAATGAAACAAGTCAGTGAGAACAAGAACGATGTGATGGTGATGGTGATCTATGTATGTTGATTTATATTTATGTTTTAGCTATTTGAAAAAGTCAAAGACGTTTGTCCAAACGTGCATGAGAAGATCAGAGCTATTTATGCGGATCTCAATCAGAACGACTTGGCTATCAGCAAGGAGGACAAGCAGGAGCTTCTCTCCTGTACAGACATTGTCTTCCACTGTGCCGCCACTGTCCGCTTTGACGACCACCTGAGGTACGGTCCCACCTTCCTCTCACGGCTTGTATGTCTACGTGTGTGGGCAAGTGTCTTTATGGTTTCCATGTTCTTTTTCCTAAAGATATACTCTCAATGAAAAAAAAAATACAAAGGTGTGAAACTTCTCCAAAATGAAGTACTATTTAATACTGTGGAGAACATACATTCCAACTTCTCTTTATGTACCCATAATAAATGTGCCTCCGATTTTACACACACACACACACACACACACACACACACACACACACACACACACACAAATGGCATCCTATTAAGAATGATATTTTGCAGCCTACTCAATTATATTTTTTACATCTTCCATTATCAAGATATTTTATTATAATTTGTAATGACTACATGACATTCCATTGTACATGTATATAATATACTCAAGCAGTTCTGTATTGGTGGGCATGTTGGGTTTTTTTCTAATTTTTCACTCTTATAAACAACACTGCAATGAACATTTCTGTGCCTACATTTTTTTTTTAAATACCTTAGGGAGCTTTCCATTGGGTCAATTCCCAGAAGTGTAACTGTTAGAATACCAGATGTGCCCAAGTTATGAACAGTTTACATTTTGTCATATAATGCTAAATTGCTTTCCAAAAAGGGGCTATCAATTTATACTGTCTCTGTGCATGTGGATCTCATTCCTGACACCCACAACAATACTATATTATAATTCTGTAATTCTGTTTAATGTTATCAGTACAATAATGGAAAGGGCGTTGCATGTTTTGATTTTATTATTTTGATAATTAGTAAGGTCGAAGATGTTTCCTTGTTGACTGGCGTTTTATTCTTTTGTGAGATACCTATTCATGGTCTTTGCTTTTTTTCTCTTGAAATATTTTTTTAGTAGAAATTTTAAGGCCTCTTGAAAGATTTAGCAATTTTTTGTTTTTTTTTTATAAGGCTCCAAATGTTTTAACAATTTGTCATTTGTCCTCAACTCTATTTTCATTATTTATGCAGTTATTCACTTTCACTATTGTTCAATTTCACATTTGAATCTTTGACCCATTTAAAATTTATTTAGCTATAAAGAGTAATAGTCAGGAAAGTTCTATAAAAAGAAAAGTAATTTCTCTTTTATTTCTAATGGATTACTTCTTTTTTTTAAAGATTTTTATTGGGGAATTGGGGGAAGGGGAACAGATAAGTTGCTGTCCTTTTTGTTCTTTAGTCTAGTTGTGGAGAATGTTGCTTCACTGGCCCAAGTTGGCATCATAATTGCACTCTTCCCGGGTGAGGCAGATCAGTCGCAGGCTTCTGGACGGCCGCTCACAGTGGCTGCTGGCTGCTCACGCTGGCTGCTGGCTACACACAGTAGCCCATGGCAACCCGCTGCAGCCTACGCTGTCGCCAGCGACTGGACTCACTGCAGCCCAGCTCTAGGTTGAGCTGTTGTTCAGCATCTTAGCTGTAGAGGGCAGTGTCACTGGCTCTCGTATGTGGGATCCGAACCAGGGCCTTCTGGCGTCCCAAGCCAGCTCTTAACCAATGTGCCACTCAGCCGGCCCCTTTTTTTTTTTTAATTTTATTTTATTTTATCATTATTTTTTTTGGCTGAGCCATCCTGCCACCTGTTGGCAGCTCAGCAGCAGCTCAGCTCAGGCTGGGACTTGAACCGCTATTGCTCAGAGCTTGAACTCTTGAGCGAGCTCTTAATCAACTGAGCCACTCGGCCGGCCCCTCTAATGGATTACTTCTTAATAGGTTACTACTTAAACATATATTAAATAATTTATTTTCACTTTTTATTTGAAAGGAAATTCTTATAATATATTAAATTCCCATTTTTTAACTCTTTATTTTCATCCATTAGCTAGGCTCTCTTTTTCAGTACAATAGAATTTTAATTACTGTGATTTTTATTTTATTAGACAAGCATACATATATCATTCTCTTTTTATAGAATTTTCCTGACTAATCTCACCTGCTTATACTTCTTTCTTAAACTTAGAATAATTTTGCTAAGTTTTTAAAAGGGTTGGAAATTTGATTAGATATGTATATTCCTTTAGAAAACTTAGCAAATTTAAAACATTAGTTATTCCTATCCAAGAACAACGTATGTCTTTCAATTTATTCATTTTTTTCTGTTATGATCCTTAATGAAGTTTTTATCGATTTTTAATATAGAGCCTATTCATTTATTATTAATTTGATCTATTTTTAAAAGGCTTGATTTTGAATGTGTGTCTTTCTTCCATTGTGGTCCCTAATTGTTGTTTCTGTATAAGAAATCTAATGATTTACATAACTTTTATAAATGGATGCCTTACTGAATTATCTCATTCTCCATCTCAGATTTTTAGCTGCTTCTGTTTGTTTTCCAGATATACAATTATATAATTGGATACTGATTGTTGTGCCTGCCTTTACACTATTTATATCTGTTAATTTTATTTTTCTCTCTAATTACAAGACTGGAACTTCAGAGCAATGTTAAGTAGCATTAATGATTGTAGAAATCCTTCTTGGCCCTGACTTTAAAAGTAGGGCTCCTAACTTTTCAGCATTAAGCATGATACAGGCTACCTGCATTTCCTTCTCCTTAATTTTCTCTAGACATGCCGTGCAACTTAACGTCACCGCCACCCAGCAGCTCTTGCTCATGGCCAGTCAGATGCCAAAGCTTGAAGCCTTCATACATATTTCTACTGCCTTTTCAAACTGTAACCTGAAGCACATCGATGAAGTCATCTATCCATGCCCCGTGGAGCCCAAAAAAATCATCGACTCCATGGAGTAAGTTGGGTCAAATGAGGGCGTGAAGGGATGCACACATTGTTGTTCTTTTCCTTTGATTCTTCGTACTCATCCACTAATCAGGTAACAAAATGGAACACCCTTGAAACAAAGTGCTTTGAATGGTGCTAGCTTTAGCTACCCTGTCTCTGCCATTCCGTCCAACCCCAAGTGGGGTATATAGTGCTTGGGTATAGGAGAGGACAGGGATAGAAAAACGCCACAGAAAAATCTTGTTCAATAGTTCATGATTGCATGAGGTCCTTGGGGATATTTTATATAGAAGTGGTTTCTCACTTAATGAACTCAGCGTTATCACTAAAGGAAGTATAGTATATTGTGTAAAAGTTCAGAAGAAAGCTTTTGGAGTCAGACTGACAAGGGTTCAACTTTAGGCTCTGCAGTTTACTAGCTGTGTGACCTTGAGCAAGTTGCTTAGCCTCTCTGAGTTTCATTTTTTTCACTTGTAAAATGAGACTAATAATAGTGTCCATCTTATAGTTGTGATGATAAACTGAGTTATATAAAGTAATTATTACAGTGCTAGGGAATGTTTAATAGCAGTTAATCAAAAGGTTAGTAAATAAGAACTAATAGAGAAGAATTCCTCCCAGACCTTGTAGAATGAGTCAGTCTCTAGGTCTGTTTGGCTGAGATACACTTTCCTTACTGTCCTATTGTGCAGGAGAAACAGTGTCTAGCATTTTTCTCTTCTTGCCAACTAACAGAAACCACTTTCATCTTAGGACATGGCCCAAGTCTCAGCATATATATGTTTCTGTTTTCTGCTTCTTTGTTCTGCTCCATTTACCAAATGTACCTTGTTTACTTGTTTCTAATAAACTCTGAATAAAAAGCCTCCTATAAAAAGGAGATTACTTCACAGTGAATTTGTTAGATTTGAATTTCATACAATGCTGTATTTCCATTTAAGATAATACTCTTCAAAATGAAACTTTCGCTACATCAAGAACTCATTCCCTTCAGGGCAGACGTTTTTATCTCATACAGCTCTGAGAATAGATATTTTTACCTGTCATTAAAAAATATCCAGGACGAAGAAGAATGAAAGTCGTCTAAAGGACCTGGAGGTTACTTAAAGTTGCCAATACATCATGATTTGCTGAACTGGTAAAAGGAAACTTTCAGAATCCAGAGTTTGTTAGGATAGATGGAGCAAAGACATAGACTCTGATTCCCAAAGTCAGTGCAAGAAAGCCAGTGTCTAACGCCTCAGAGCGTTTTCAGGATGGAATTGATTTGTCAGTTAGCTGCCCCCTTACAGTGCTGTCTCTTGGTAAATATGGCGCTTGTGTATTGATATGTCCAAGAAAGGGGCAGACTTCCCTTGATTCCGGACCCTGCCACTGAGATTCCAATGGCTCACTCCACTGCTGACCCCTCTGACACCTGACAGATCACAGCACGATTTGAGGCAGCACAGGAGTCTCTGACAGTTCACCAGAAAAAAGAGATAGAAAATACAGATCGAGTTCACCCACAGTGAGGTACTCCATGCCACTCCCGCCCTCCCAAACTGTGTCCAGATACTCAAAATACCCCTGGATTTCAAAGGAGAATAAACACACCTTCCAAGGGAGGAGTTGATTTATCTTCAGGTATTCAGCACTTCCCATGCTCCCCATGATATAAAGGCGGGTAATTGCCACACGGTTTATGATCTAACTGTCACTGACACTTGTACAACATTTATGTCTGCCGTTTACTGCTCGCTAAGAAGAATAATTATATCAATAAATATTATACAGCCCAACAGAATGAGGGATGACGTTATCTTTTGTCTCAACGGAATACGTTTTGAATGCAATTAAGGAACTTAACTGGGTTTTTTTTTATAACAAGGAAAACTCATAACCACCATTTATTGATTCAGAATGTTCCACTCAGGACCACCTGTGCAGCCTCATCTCTCTTAGTCCTCCCCTTACACTTATGCTTCCGTCACACTGAAGTAATTTCTTTCCTCTCTCCTATGGTCTGCCTTTGTTTATCATGGTTGTGTTCCTAAAGACAACTCCCACCTCTGCTTCAGACACCGACACTCTCCCCTGGAGTCCCTCAGGCGCAGGTGGGCCCATCATACCCCTGTGCTTATTCTAAATACCTGGTTGCTTATCTCTAGTCTCCATTAGAGGATGAGCTTCAAAAAGGAAGGGAACGTGTCTTGCTCCTTCTTGGCTCGCTTGTGCCAGCACATAGTAGGGACTCAGATATTTGCTGATTGAATGAAAAGTTATTGATGGCACTAGATGATCATTGTTCATGCTGTTCTGGCCGGGCTGGGAGGGAGGGTGCTGTTTGTTTGTTTTGACAAAAGCAAAGATAGATGACAGAATGCCATAGCAAGCTGACATTTTGAGATATTAAGTCTTATGCATGAAATACCTTATGCTTACATAGCATTCCTGTTTCTGATTGCCCCTTTTTTTTTTCCTTCTTAAACTTCAAATAAAACCTGTGTGTTTGGTTTTGAATAGCACTTTGAATAGAGTCCAGCAACCCTTCACCAACTACACCATTGTTCAAGAGTGTTTCAACAACTCCTGCATCACATGGGATTTTCTGAAGCTCTGAAATAACAAAATCACATGCAAGTTACTCTGAATAAGTATTAATTCACCTAAATCCAGATTTAGTTGCTTTGTTTTAAGAATATGTTTATTCTCTGACTCTTCTCTGTTGTAATTGGCCTAAGATTAAAATAAAATTATTTCACAAGGTTTTTAGGGCTTCTATTTCCTTGGAAATTTTTATTAATAATAACCCCATATGTTCTAGTAGCTATCCTTGTTCTTAGCATTCCAGTGGTCCTCATTTTTTAAAAAAGGAACCAGGAATTAGACAACAAGATGATCTTAAAGCTGTACTCTGGGCTTTGTGATCCCATGAGAATCACCCATGTGGATATGTTAATTGACTGGATGGGGGGAATCATTTCACAATGTATACGTATACCAAATCATCACGATGTTCGCTTTAAATATCTTACAATTTTATTTATCAATTATACCTTAGTAAATATGCTGGAAAAAAAAAAGAGAATAAAATAAAAAAAGAAACTCAGCCATGAAAAAGTGACATGAAACTCTTTTTCCAGAAAACAAGTTTAATGGGAATTCCAGTTCTGGGAAATGAAAGAGAATTTGCACTTTCTGCCAGGAACTTTCCCAGTTGCAGAGGCCCACGTGTTGTTAATAAAGGGAAAGGGACTGTGAACGTAAACCAGACACCCACCATCCCTGCCCCATCCTGTCGGCCCGCCTCATTTTCTGTCCATCCCACAGCCCAGGACTGCCAGGACTCAGCTCCCTTTCCTTCGGCCCATATTTAAAAACTCCCAGAATTACAAAGGTCCTGAACCCAAAAGATAAAATTTTATTGTGTTAATATAAAAACTTTAGCATAAACACATTTTAATAATAACTTAAGTTAATTCTTTGAATTGGTATGGTGAGAATGGCCATTAATCGGTGTTAAGCAAACAAGTTTCCTAGTTCTTACACCTGCAGATGTCCTCTGCCCCTCATCCCAACTATCGCAGACATGTTACTGCGTAATTGTGTCAGAAAGTTTACTGTTCTCTGCCTTTTTAATTTCTAGCTTGTACATAGCTGGTGATATTTACCTTTAGAAACTCATGTGCATAAATGGATCAGGGAATGGCAGGGAAATTCCACGTTTTCAGAATAACAGCTTAAGTATGTTTATTTTTTTAAATGCACACGACTGACCAGGAAAGATAGTGCTTCAGGGCTGGTGCTTTCCACATTTTTCATGTCAAGGTAACTTCTCTTAGGGGAGCCAGTGTAGAAGAAAAGGGGTTTTGCACATGTATAAAAACCTTAAATAATAAGAGTTGGGAACTAGAAAAATGGATCCATGCATATTTGCTGCTTTAATATAATCGACCTAGTAAATATTTGTTAAAAAGGGAAGGATGGCTATGAATCGTTTTGAGCAACTGTGAGCAAAGAAACATTCAGACATTTAATTCTTTAACATAATATTGTAGGATAGATATGATCATGGCTGTACTATTAAAGGAACAGAAGCTTAGAGAGGCTAAGTACCTCTTCGGAAGTCTCTCAGCTAGTAAGTCACAGAAACACAATTCCCTCTGTGGCCACATGATTTGGCTACGTGATCATGGTCTTTTCAATATACCCACATACTCGACAGTGCCAGAGATTAAAAGATGTTTCCTTAAGATATAGACCGTGCTCTCAAGGAGGTCACAATCAAACACGAATACAGCAGAGCAGAAGTATACCTATATGTGATGTGGTGCAGGAAATGGGGCATGTTAAGTGACATGGAATTGGAGGGAGTAGGAAGACTGTAACAACAGACACTTGTAGGAGATTAACTTGGCATAAAGACAGGCATGGGAGGTCTACTTGGAAGAACAAGCACAGTGGATAGGCGAGGTCCGTACACATGCTAAGCAGAGTGAGTGAAGCAAGAATCCCCCCTGGGGCATGTTGGGGATACAGCTGTTAAGTCCATTTGGCAGCGCATATGCTGGGGATGTTATTAGAGATCAAGCCGGAAAGATGAGCTGGGGCCATACTGTGGAGATTGTGACCACCGTAGAGCGGATTGTATCTAATGCTGTAGGCAGTGCAGATCCATTGAAGGAGGGCCGTGTGTGTGTGTGTGTGTGTGTGTGTGTGTGTGTGTGTGTGTG